GGTGATGAGGAAGGGCCTGCCCCACAGCCCAGGGCCCGAGCCGGTGCGGGGGGAAGGTGTTCGCCAAAAATCTCTGTTTTCCGTGCCGGGGGGCAGCGCACGGGGCGGCGCGGGTCCCCCGCCCGGGGTGAAACGGGCTTTGCCGGGCGGGGCTGCCCTCGCCAGCCCGGTAGCACCAAAGGACAGTCACCACCCAAGGGCCTGAACGCACGTTTGGACTCTCAAAACACACACTAACCGGCTAACGGACACTGCAGACCCCCGCCGCCGGCCAAAAGCGGGGGGTGCACCACACTTCCGAGGGGCCACGGCGGGGTGCGGTTCCTCCTTGTCATCGCGGAGTTACGGACCGCTACACACCGCCTCGGGCTCGTCTGGGCTTCCACATACCTGTAAGAGGCAAGAAAAACAGATTAGAAAAATCCTGCCGTGTTTTGATCTAAGCAGCAATTTGGGGAATGGATTTGCAAAGCAGTCGGAGCTGCTCGGGAGAGCCCGCTGTGTGTAAAACATGAGCACCTAGTGCCATGCGGCGCTCTGGCCTTCCTCCCGTTTTCGTTCTTCTTCTTCAGAAGTTCTTTTGGAAAAAAACCCAACCCAACCCCTTCATCCCAGGCGATTTGTGCAGTTTATCATGTGATTATCGAGACAGACACCTGCACCAAGCAGAGAGGCACAGTCCGTTCCTGCAGGTCAGCATGGGGTCAGGCAGCTGCGTGGTGTCAGACTTGCACAAGGACTCTTAAGGAGTCACCGCCAGCAGCCACCCCTGCCCACTTGAGGAGGATCTGCTGCATCAGCTGGAAAATGCTGGAAAAAATCCCTCCTGCTTAGGGAGGTGCTGAGGAGTGGGAGCAATCGGTGCGGTTCTGCAAAAGACAAGTTGCAGTGAGCCACCAGCTCACTCCCGTGGAGAGGTGGTCCCTCCACCCCAGCACTCCCAGTTCCCCTTCTGTCAGCTGTCAGGTTTCACCCAGTCAGCTCACCCAGCCAGCAGAAACCCCAGCAAAGCGACAATGGGTCAAAGACAGACAGAGCCCAGGAAGGAGCTGGTGAGATGCACGACTGGTACAAGCCCTTCGGTGGCAACAAACTTAACCCTGAAGTGGCAACTGCCCTCTCCTTTTCCACCCATGCCTCGTCTGAAAGCTGACCAGAGACTGCTTGTCCCATGGCGACCTCTGGGGTTTTGTCCAGCCACGGTAACTGCAGCGCAACGGACCAGATTTTCATTATTTGTCCATCCTTGTTGCCACGGGCCCTTTCCACATCTACCTCCCAAACCTTCTCCCTGTCACACCAAATGAACACCAGGGCTACCAGCCAGGTCCGTCTCCCCTGGGGCTACATGTAGGTACCAAGAGTGCCAGAACAGGGCAAACCTACCAGCCCAGTGTACTCTCATAGCCTCCAACAATTCACACCTCAGGGAATTCCTGAGCTAGAAGAGATGTCTTCAACAGCCCTCAGTGGACTTTCCTTCCATTATTTGTTTAGTCACATTTTAAGCCTAAAACCTGTTTGTGTCAGTGAAAAGAAAATGCAAATGTTTTTGTAAGGATAAGCATCTACAATGCAGTTCATCAAAGCCACACTGGTATTTGTATCAAATCTAATCTGATTTTATTCTCACGTGTTTCCTTGAGGGCACCTATGAAGCTCTCGCGTTCCCAATTTGACTTTATCAGGTGTCAGGAACTCGGGTTTTGGTCTTCTTTGAAGCATGGGAATTGTAGTCTCTGTGCTCAGGGCTTAATTTCTTTGTGAACTACATTTCCCAGAGAACTCTTCCGGCAGGCCAGCCCTTTCCTTCCGCCGTCCGGCACGGCAGCATTATGAAAGGTGAGTTTTCAGGCATTGTTCACCGTGTCACCGTTATTTCATCAGACGTGTGCGGTTGTTACCCACCCGCCCCCCATCATTATTACATCAAAAGGGACTCGGATGACGTGGCTGTCCCTCTGAATTTGTGGCCTGTAACCATTTGTAGAAACCTGTTTATCTTCTACCTCGGGCTTGTCCGGTCTCGTCTATGGAGCCCCTCGGATGCGTGTTAAAAACAAACTCTAGCCTCGGATCTCGACAGGTACGTTCAAAGAGTTTCACTTACTATGTATAGCAGTTTTTTTTTAAGCTGAGCACTTTCATTTTAAAAGCAGCTTTGCGTTTCACAGGAAATATTCTGCCCTGTGCAAGTTTATCCCACAGTGTCCTACTTCCAGTAGCTCTCAAATTCATCTTAATTCTGCTGCTGGGCCTCCCGTTGCCTTCTCTTTTTCGTGGGCCAACCCATATTATATCTCCATTTCATTCCCCCTCAGAACATTTCCTTCTGAGAGATCTTTTGATGATGATAAGGGACAGGAATGGAGAATTTTCATCAGTTGAAGTTATTTAAATACTGTCAAACTGGCTTAACAGCCTTTGGGGAGCATCGCAACAGAAGTTATTCTCAAAGCAAATTACAGTTTATTGGGAGACTTTGTCCTTTCTAATTAATTCATATGGAAAATCAAGCCTCTTCAGAGGGAATGCCCAACACAACTCCTGCTAAACAACAAAACAAGGCAAAAATGATTGTGAACAGAATCCACTGCTTAGATTTCAAAGGTAGTTCAGAATGAAGTCCAGTCTTTCCTGTAATTCAACTGATGATGATCTCTTGTGAACAAGAGATTAACTAAAACAAATCTACTTTTTGCCACTAGCATCAGTTTAGTATCGTGATACAGCTGAACACCCAAACTTTAAATGTATTTAGATATTGCTCCATTTACTGTAAAACTGGTACTTGAGGGGGACTGGGGACTCAAGGCAAAGCAATTTAGACACAGGAAGAGTCTAAAAGCCATCCAGGCGCTGAAGCAGAGGTCATCAAAAGTACTTAGGTGGCAGCCTTTCAGACAAGTCAGCTCACCACTTGGATACCTCTGACTTCCCCAGAGCTGCCACAGATCGCACAGGTGACACTGCAAGTGTCCTGTAGGCAGCATTTGTGAGACTTCCCACATGCTGTAACCAGTTGACAGCTACACAGAGCCCTCCTTCAAACCACTGCCTGTAACACCTGAAAGGGATCTGCTCCAGCTGGCTGAGGACTCCCAGTGAGACCCAGTCCTTTAGGTGTCAATTCTCAGTACTGTTTATTTCAAAACTGTTTGTACTTTGTATGGAAAAACATAGAGAGGGCCAGAGAAAAGTAGTTTTAAAATAGTGAAATGGTGGAGAAAGGAAAACTGCAGACCGCTAGAAAGACCAAACAATCAAGGTCCAAACCAACCCACTCCTGTCACAACAGCTCCTGCACACAATTCCAGGCTACTGGTCAGCAAAGCCATCCTGCCTGTCCCCAACAGGGCATGCCGTTCCTGCCTTAAAGCAGGATATCCCTCCCATCCCTGCTTGCCAGGCAGCTGTTTCTGCCCGCCACACACTGGGTGACCCCTTCTCTCTCAGCAAAACGCCCTGTTCCTGCTGGAGAAGCGAAGCAGTACCCCTCCACCTCTCCACTGACCCTGGGGAGGTGGCACCCACAAAGAAGGAGGTGCCAGAGGCATTTAGGCGGTGTCCTTACCATCTTCACTCCCATTTCAAGGCCTGTTCTGCAGGCCTTTATAAAAATACCCAGAAGTAACTCCAGTCAAGGCCTTTGTCCCAAAGAAGCAACATTTCAAGGTTGTTTTTGTCTCCCTTCCCACAGCACGTGCGAAGGATGGGGTAAATAGAAAGGACTGATTTGGAGCAGGCAGAATGTTAAAGAAAGCAGAGCAAGGGTCTCTTCTGGGGAGGAACCAGCCAGTTCCAGGGTGCGGCGTTTGGCCTTCCTGCCATTTCTCCTCTGCCCTGTGCACATACCGGGGAGAGACTTTGCATGCTCAGGTCTTTCTGGGCTCTTCGCAAGTCCTCTTCGGCAGCCGTCCTTCACACCAGGATAAAAGAGCAGGAATCCTGCAAGTCAGGGCTGCTAACTTTGTCCTTGTACCTTGAGCAGGCCTCAGTGTTGCCCTCGGTCGAAGGGACATAGGAAT